AGGGAGGAAAAAAGGGAAAGAGAAAAGAAGGGAGAGAGGGAGGGAAGATGGCAGGAAGAGGGATGTAGATATAAAAATCTATTTATCTATCTGATGAATAGAGAAAAGGTTAAAGTTAGAAAGAAAGAAATGCCCAATCAAATTGTCTTGGGATGGATGTGGTTTATGAAAGATGCTATAGAAGATGACCTCAGGTTATTTGATTGATACCATGTCTGTTCTGTCCAAGGTTGAATCAAGGGTGGACCTTGAGATTTCAGCATAATTTAAAAAACAATGTAATGCCCACCACAGTATTCCCTATCAATAGCTTCATTCATGTTTTATTTTTATCTACCTAGCCCAACTGAACTATTCCAGACCAGACCAGTTTTTTATGGCTATTATTTTATAACAAATTTCAAGTATGCTGAAAATTTGAAATAATTATACAGTGGATACCCATATATTCATCACCTAGATTCTTCCATTGTCATATTTTGTTCCACCTATGCTATGGCCTGATGTGTCCTACCAAAATTCATATGTCGAAGCCTTTATCCCCAATGTGACAGTATTTGAATGTGGGATCTTTGGGAGGTAATCAGGTCATGAGGGTGGAGCCCTCATGAATGGAATCAGTGCCCTTAGGAGAAGGGCCATGAGATAGAGGTACTCTCTCTCCATCACGTGAAGATACAGCAAGATATCTGCCTGAAAACCAAAAAGAGGGTTTTTACCAGGAACCAAATTAGCTAATCAAATCCAAATTGATCTTGGATTTCCCAGCCTCCAGAACTGCAAGAAAAAAAATTTCTGTTGTCTATGCCAGCAGTCCCCAACTATTTTGACACCAGGGACCAGTTTTGTGAAGGACAATTTTTCCATGCATTGGTCGGAGGATGGTTTCAGGATGATTCAAGCACATTATATTGTGCACCTTATTTCTAGTAATGTTACATCAGCTACACCTCAGATCATCAGGCATTAGATCCCAGAGTTCGGGTTCACCCGGCCTAAGCCACCCAACCTATGGTATCTTTGCTATAGTAGCCTGAGATAACAGACTTTGCTTTCTCATATATCTATACATCTATCTATCCATCAATCTGTCATACCTGTAGCCATCATTGTTCTTTATCCCTAAACATTTCAGCATATGTTTCATTAACTAGAGTTCAATAATTTATGGTTCTTTCATATTATAAGGTAAAATTTACATGCAGTGAAGTGCACAAAGCCTAGCACCATTCAGTAAGTTTTAACAAATGCAAACATCCATTTAACCCACATCCCTATCAAAATACAGAATATGTCCATCACCCCAGAATACTCCCTCATGTCCATGCCCAGTCATCTTGATGCCAATACCAATCCTGAAGCAACCACTCCTCTGCTTTTTTTCCTCACTATATGTTTAAACAAATTTTGCCTGTTTTAGAAATTCATATAAATGGAATCATGCAGTAGGTACTTGGTATGTTCTTGAGATTCCTCCATGTTGTTGAATGCCTCAGTTAATTTCATTCCTTTTTATTGCTGAATAGTATTCTACGATACAAAATATATCTTAATCTATTTATTCAATTATGAGGACATAAGGGCTCTTTGCCATTTTTGTACACTGTAATAAAGCTGCTATAAACCTTCTAATGAAAGTCTCTTTTTTTAACTTATGGACAAATGCCCAAGAATAGAATTGGATTTTCAGTGCATGTTCAGCTATATGAGACACCACCAGGCCTTCTCCCAAAGCTGTTATTACATTTTACACTCCCACCAAGAAAGTATTTGCCACATCCTCACCAACATTTGAGGTAATCAGTCTTTTTAGTTTTAACCATTCTGGGGTGGGGAGGTGTGGCAGTCACTCATCTTCAGGGATGCTCCCACTGGCTCCTGCCCACTACAGCTAAACCTGCCTCTCACTGGGCCTTCTCCCCCAGGGATTTGGGGAGAGGAGCATACATCTGGTGGCTTATTTCTTCTAAGGCCCGAAAAGAGAAGGGTAACTGCATCTATTATTAGTCCACCTCTCCTCTATCTTGCTTAGAAAGAAAAGTTTAAAATATCAGAACAGTCATCTAGCTGGTTCAAGTTGGCAAATTTAAAGTTATCTTTTGGCTGACAAAATACTTTGATGCAAAAGATCCTCACTTCTAAATTCTAGCCTTTGTCTCTTTCCATCAAGATTTAGCACCTTTGGCATTCTATAGAAGTTCTAGTCATCAGGCTCAACTTCTTTTTCTTTGGACTACCTTAAGAACCATTCTTTACATTATCAATGCCACCCTGCAAGGCAGGATTGATGACCCCTTTCTACAGAGGTGACTGCCACTGAGCTGAGGGTCTCAAGGATATGATTTGTGACCTTCATGCACATGTTTCTACCCACGCCTCCCTCATGCAGGCAGCGCCCTCAGGGTGGACTCTGACGCAGGGTCCTGTCCCCCCTGCCCTCTCTCCACTTTCTCCATGGAGATGAGTGCAATTGGCAGTGTCCCCATTCCCCACTTCAGGCCCATTCATTTCCCAGCTTGCATCGTTTCCTCTTCTCCCTCTCTTTCTTCCAATGCTGCTCAGTTACCTCATAAAACTCTTGTTCCCTCATCCTTTCTCTTATTCTCTTCCATATGGGAACTCGAACTGTACCCTAAGCTTGTCTGATGACTGCCAAAGTCCTGCTAGTGGCATAAAGAAGTGAGACATAATGAAAGGCCAACATCGTCAACATCTCAAGCCCTTGAAAGTACCAAGAGGTCCCTTTTAGAGTCTCCACAAAAGAACCTTCTACTTTGTCAGTCCATCCTAATTAAACTGGTTTTTCCTTAAGTACTAGCATTCCATGTAAACAAAAAACTTTTGTCTTCACTATTGGGTTTCTGTTTTAATTAATAGCATCACACCAACATTGTCTTCTATTACTCTGGCTGCAAAGATACAGCATGTCAGTTACATTTTCAGTTACACTGCATCACTATTCTATCTAAAACCATGTAATAAATGCCAATCTGACTTAAACTTCTAGAAGGAAATCAATTTCAAAATGAGGACTTGCCTTGTTTTCCTACTCAATTTTAAGTATTTGTTATAATAGTTTCCTTTTTGGCATATTCTCTTTTATAAAGAAATGTGGAAAGATACCTTAGCACCATTCTCAAAGCACAGTTTTACATGTAATATCCCTACCTGAAAAGTATATATTATTATGATCCCATTTTACAAATAAGAAAACAGAGTCAAAAAAATTCAGTAACTCACAGCTAGCAAGTGGCAAAAACCTTAGTTTGGCATCCTCCAGTTGATGCTTTCTTAGCCACCATACTGTCTTTCTCCCCTATATTGCCCGGAACCTCTAAGCATGCAAATTAAAGCCTCCCAACATGCATTGGAATAGGCCATGATTGTGTGGTCCATCTCCCTCATCGTTATCTGCAGCTGCACCATCTTCTTCCTCCTAAATTGTTCAGATCTCACCAAATCTCAGAAGACAGAAAAAGAGACCAGCAAAAGTTCTACAGGAAAAGTAGTAAATCCAGATCTTTAGTAAATCTGGAGCTATTTTTTAAAAGCTATATCTAGAAAGGAGCATCTATCCATGCAATTAATAATCAATATGTACTATGGATTTTAAATAGCTCTTACATGGTTCTGAGCCTTGATACAGAATATGGTTTATGCCCCTGGTCTCTTCTGTTATCCAAACTGTTGTATTTTCCTTACTAACTTGCTCTAATGGCTTTAATACAGACCGACTAACAAGATACTACTGAACAGAGACATTGTGGGTGGTGGCACAGTTAGAGAGTAAAAGGAGTGAGAGTCCAGATTTGGTTGTAGGAGCTGACCTTTTTCCACCAGCTTGGCTGGCTCTTCGCTTGGTGTGGACAGGTGAGGCCAGAGTCCATTGGCTCATGCAGCCTATCATGTTGTTACTGACCTGATACTTATTTCAGAAAAGATTTGGCAGTCTGTGGAGAACAGACTCACTCACACTCTACCCTAGCCACGTCTATTTTACCTTCTTGGACTCAAAAGGCTGGAATTTCAACAGCATTTCCCTGACTCTCTTGCAGCTAGCATTCTAGATATAAATTAGATTCCTCTAATTAGATGTTACATGAGATCCAGCAGACAGAAGTAAGACAGAAACCATCTTCCCACCCTTTCTTAAGCTGTTTCTGCTAATGAGCAAGATCATTAAATGTGAGCTGATTTTTTAGCATTATTCCAAGGTTCAATCTCTAGTTTCTTGGGTACTGAGAGGCAGTTCGGGCAGTTAGCAGCAGCAACACTTTTATTCTGGCTTTCTGAGCCCTGGACAGCCACTATGGGGTATGTTTTGAGCTGCTCTTTCCAGGGGTAATCTCAGAAGGTTCCCTGGTGAGTCAGGCCTGGATTGCCTATGTCTTCTTACTCCACCTCCTCTGCCATCCACAACATAACCACTCACATTTCTTGCATGCTCACTATGTGTCAGGCACTATGCTAAATGTTCTACATAAATAATTTTTTTAAGCCCCAAAACAACACATGAGGAAGGTGCTCTTACTATTCCTTTGTTCCAGATGAGTTTTCTGAGGTTCAGAAAGAGAGGTAAAATGTATAGGATCAGAGCAAAGCTACCAGGTAAATGAGCAGAGCTGGAGTTAGATCCCAAGTCTGCCTGGCTCCAAAGACTGAACTCTGCCTCTTCAAAGAATTTGAGGGCCTGGGACCTATTAGCAGATTTTAATTGTTTATACATGTTATGCTGCTGAAAAGACATCATTCTTTTCCCCTCAATACACTCACAGAGGTCAGCCTGTTTTATATCAAGATTCATCCAGGTATCACAGAAGCCTTCAATTTAATTAAACATAAAAGTATTTGAAAAATCCAGAGGCATCATTTGGTAAAAATTGTCTAAATCACACCAAGATCATTTTTATTTTACAAGTTACAGAATTGAGATGAAAGCAGGCACAGCCTTTTGCCTGCCTCTGGGAGGACCAGAGCTGGGGGTATAGGCATGAACTTACCAGGTGCTCTGTTCACAGCGAGGTTTCGGAAATGGCTGCCTTTGATCATCTCCACGGATAATCGCCCTGTTGTGGCATTGTATGACAGCCCCACCAACAGTTCTGGCGCCCCTCCATGCGACAGCGACTGCGTGGATGAAGCGCTATCACTGTGAGACACTGCAGATGGGCTGAGCGGAGACTCTCCACTCTGGAGGGGAAGAACAACAAAGGATCCATTGGCCCCGGCTGTGCTTTCTCCCATACAGAAAGCTGATATGTTTGGCGAAATTGTGGCCCCAGTCTCCACTGCTGCCAAAGATTACTAAGGGCGCACTCGGTGTGAATGATAATAGGGCCTGGGGAGCGCAGTCCTGGATGGGATCCCCTGCATTATTAGCTGACATATTTGTTTCAAGCGCTGTCTCCATTCACCCTTTCCTCTCTAAAGACAAAATGGACAAAGATGTTATTACTAGTGTAAATCAAACCCAGAAAGATACATGGAGAGCTAAGAAGACATTTAATATAGATCCAAATTCCCTCCCGTGCAATTTGTGCTCAAATGTTTCACGTCCACCCCAGGCATGAGTTCAGCTTCTGTTTCCTGCAGCTTCTTGAGGAATTCAACAATATAGGAGGCATCTTGCCTTCACCAGAAAAGAAATGACCACTGGCTGCCTACCACCCCAAAGAACATTTGGCTCCCAGTTCTGCTTTTTAAGGTTGTCAGGAATACAGCAGATGCTACATTTTTTTTTTCTTCCTAAGGAAATGAATTCTATTGAATGTGAGCACTTTCACAACTGTTTAGTAAGGAAGTTGACACAAGGACTGTGTGTCTTAGAAACCTTAGGTACCAGCGGAGCCCACACTATCTGTCATATATTCACATATTGCTTCTCCAAAGCATCTGCCTCTGTGCACCAGACATGCCAGGATAAGGAGAGCAAAGGAGGTCAGGACACTGACTCTCACTCAAGAAGCAGGAGGGGGAACGGGCTCTGAGGGCAGGCTAGCCAGCCTCCTGGAGCCACCACCTTCTCCATCAGAAACATGTGCATCAGACTCTGTGACAAGCTAGAGGGGTGGGATAGGGTGGGTGATAGAAGGGAGGTTCAAGAGGGAGGGAACATATGTATATGCCTGTTGATGTATGGTGGAAATGAACATGACATTGTAAAGCAATTACCCTCCAATTAAAAATAAATCTCAGAAAAAGAAACATGTGCATCGGACTCTTCTCAAATCTTTCTTCTCAACATCTGAAATCATTTCCTAAAATTTCTCATCAGGAACCTCGATAAATAAATGCATTGAAAGAAATCAAATATTTCTTAACATCTTAGGAAACTACCCTGTTTACAAAGCCACAGGCATCCCTATAGAGCCCACAGAGGTTTTCATGGGACATAATTTATAAACTTGGAGAAGGAAATAACAACCCACTCCAGTATTCTTGCCACGACAGAGGAGCCTGTTGGGCTACGGTCCAAAGGGTTGCAGAGTCGGACACCACTGAAGCAATTGAGCACACACAATTTATAAACTACAGGGCAAGGTGGTTTTAAGAGATGCCTTATGGCCCTTTTGTCTAGATGATGATAATCCCACAAGGAAATACTTGCTTAGTGTGGGGTGAGGGCCACCCCATCCCCTGGGCTTGTGCAGAAGTGTCCACTGTGACACCTGTCACTACACAGCTTGCCTCTCCCCTCTAATCCCCAGCCTTATATTATAAACCCCTCAGTCTGCCACAGTGCATTGTCCAGCGCCTAGCTGATGACCACACTCAACAAACAACAGGTAAATGGGAGGATTTTTACTTCAAGGTTCTTTCACACAGCTCATTTCCCCTACTCAGCTCTGTGCCCCCATCACAAAACACAGGGTCCAGCAGAGAGTTACAGGGGTGGGAGCATCCCTGTCTCCATGCTTTATGATGCACGACTCCTCTGAACTCCTATGACTTCTGTTCCCCAGGATTTAAGACACACCCTACTCTGAGCTTAGGGGAAAAAGAGGAATTTGAACAGAGACAAGAGAGGGAAGCCTGATGTGCTGCAGTTCATGAGGTCTCAGAGAGTCAGGCATGACTTAGTGACTGAACCACAACAATAAAGATGTGATCTAGTTTATGTCTTAAAGGCTCCTTCTGGTCCCCAAGCTGGAAGTAGTTTATAGGGGACAAAGGTGGAAGTTGGGAGATGACTAGGAGGCCATTTCAATAATCCAGCAGAGAGTCAGGCTCTGGTTGGATTTTTAATAAAAAGCCAGTAGGATTTCAGATGGAGAGAAGTCACAAATGACTTCTAAGATTTTGGACCTGAATTCAAAGCATGAGATTGTCTTTAACCAAGATGGGAAGACTGCAGGTAAAATAGATTTGTTGCTGTTTAGTTGCTAAGTCTTGTCTGACTCTTGCTACCCCATGGACTGCCGCCCACCTGGCTCCTCTGTCCCTGGAATTTCCCAAGCAAGAATACTGGGGTGGTTTGCCATTTTCTCCTCCAGGGGATCTTCACAACCCAGAGTTCGAACCCACATCTCCTGCACTGACAGGCTGCTGAGCAACCAGGGAAGCCCAAAATAGATTTTGTGAGGCAAAAATCAGGATTTGGAGTCTGAATTTTGAGACATCTATTAAAAATGTAAGTGGCTGGATCTCCCATCAGCACAGTCTGGACTCTCTGGCTCCTTTCTTCTTCCTCAGACAAGTCAAGCCCCTTCCCACCCGCTGGTGTCTACATGTACCAGCCCCTCTGTCTGGAGATCCTGTCCGTCACACGGCACCCAGGCTGGCTCCTACGGTTCCTTGAGTTTTCTGTGTCATATCACCACCTGAAAGATAATTTTTCTGACCCTTCAAAAGAAAACACAGCCTCTGTCACTGTCTACCCCGGCTGTCTATTGTCACCGTCCGCCACCAGATTGTAAGGCATCTCCTGTTTCGTTCACCTTGCAAGGACAGTCCCTGTTTTGTTCCTTCCTCTGCCAAAATGGCACCTGACATATAGTAGGCACTCATAAACATTTTGGAATGAATGACTGATTGGCCCAACAGCCCAAGATAACTACCTGATCTTTTATGTGATTTTTAGAAGGAGACTCTCACACTGGATGATATATATATCATCCACAGGAAGAAAGAGTTACTTGTTTGTAGATATAAAAGCTTTGCTGTCTTATCTTGAAACCCAGGGACATAGAAGATGGGCATGTGGAAGAAGCCCAGTCATAATAAATGGAAGGTCTTAGAAGTGGCTGGAGTTCAGGGCTACTCTGTAACCTACTCAGGCACACTTGTTAAGGACCTCACTTTGAAAGCCCCATCTCTGAGATGCATCATGATGTATACTGGGGTCAGGGCAGGGGGATGGGTGGTAGAACCACTTATCAGCTAATGAGAAGGTCAAGAAATCTCTCGCAGTTTCCCTGTGTCCTCCTTTACTCTGCCGTCGTCATGTCTAAAAATGGATAGGGATACATCCATCAGGTTATAGGAGCTATGGGCACACACACACACAAATAAAAACCCCATTGTACCGTGAAGTGCAAAGCATGGCTCACAAGGATGAGAAGCATAAAACAGAAATTAAGGTGTCTGAATTCACAGGCTGAACATATTACATCAAGGGCTGACAATTCCAGATCCTCCAACATAGCACATCATTAGCAGCACCATTTAACATACTCACACTGATATTACTTCTTGGCTCCAGAACAAGAGTCACTTTCATTTCCCCATCTTGGTGCAGGTGGCTGAGATAGAAGAGCCTCTCACCCATCATTCTCTCCCGGGTCATCTTGCGGGCAGCGTATAGGCGGAAGCGGACCGCACTGGCAGCCACATCTCTGGGCTCCACCTTGGTGAAGGTGACTTTCTCCTTGAAGATGGGGTTGGGCCCTCTCTGTATGCTTGTCCTGCCCCTCTGTTTCTTACTGGGCAGCAGCACAACGTGCACTTGCCAGGAGTTCACTCCACTTCGGTCCTTATCCGGGAGGCCCTGCGCTCTGACAATAGTCACTGTGAGCTTCTGGCTGGCAGCTCTATATTCAAAGATGACATCCAGGTCACCACATTTTGAGATGGGTTCCGGGACCCCAGGTGGCACCTGAAAATTGGTCCCATCCTGTTCCTGTTGTAGACAGAGGGAAAGGTTAGGAATGGAACAATGCCTAAAGCATCTTGGAAAGATGGTGCCCCTCTGTGCTTCTTCAGAACCTCACACTTTTGGACTGATAGCTTATAACTTCATACTTTAAAAAGGTCTGTTTCCTGGTCTCTCCATCAGACTGTGAGTTCCTTGAGGGTACAGCACCAGACATATGGTGCGCCTTCAAAGCATATGAATGCTTTTGGAATGAATGAACAAAGCTTTTACAATTTGCAAAGTGCTATCATTGAAACCAATTGAAATACTAAGTCTAAAATTAGTTAATTATGCAACTGCCAAAAGCTAACTTTTCCTTAAGTTCCCAGGAGAAATGACTGCCTGGGCCTGTGCTCTCTGAGCCAGGAGCCCATGCAGAGAAGCATCCTAGTGGGGGTCATGGACAGGTGAGCCTTTAATAGATTGTCTATCTACATGGTAGAAAAGGTTTAGGACAGAGCTTCTCAAACATTCTAGTGGACTTGAATCATCTGGGAATTCTGATTCAGTAGGACCAGGAGTCAGGTCTGGGATTCTGCATTTCTCAGGCTGCAAGGAAGTCTCAGCTAGCCTCCAGTCACTCTTGGAGAAGGAAGGGTTTAGGAGGGCATCCCCTGCAGCCATTTAGCAAATACAATGCACAGAACACCTGGGTTGAAATTAAAATTCAACATTGACTAGCTTTTTGGCCCTGGCCAAAAGGGTCATGCTCTCTGTACTTCAGCTGAAAAATGAGCATTAAGGTGACTGCTTGATAGAGAGTCATTGTGAGGTTTTAATGTGCCAAATCACTTCAGTCATGTTTGACTCTGTATGACCCTATGGACTGTAGCCTGCCAGGCTCTTCTGTCCATGGGATTTTTCAGGCAATAATGGAGTGGGTTGCCATGTCCTGCTCCAGGGGATCTCTCTAACCCAGGAATTGAACCCATGCCTCTTATATCTCCTACACTGGAAGGCAGATCTTTGCCACTAGTATCACTTGGGAAGCTGTGGAAGAAGCCTCAGCTCAGACAAGCCTCCGTAGATATCTATTCTCATCACTGAACTGATGCTTATTTCCAATCATGGCCCCTTGTTATAAAATATCACTTTTAGACAGCAGTTCACCTCAGCCAGTCAGATCCAATGACCTCACTGAGAAGACTGAGCTGAATCACATTTACTATAATGAACCACCCTTGAACAAACTATTACTAATGTCAACATAATTTGATTTTTCCCTCCGAAGGCATGCCTCTTACTCATGATTAAATTTTGGTCTGATTCTCACTGTAAATAAGAATCAGTTCTTCTTTATGTAATAGAATATCAACTGTGCTAATACAAAGAACTCTTTTATTTTTAGATCAATTTGTACACACTGCTGTTTAAAATGGGTAACAATCAGGGTCCTGCTGTATAGCACAGGGAACTCTGCTCATGTTAAACAGCAGCCTGAATGGGAGGGAGGTTTGGGGGAGAATCAGTTCAGTTCAGTTCAGTCGCTCAGTCATATCCGACTCTTTGCGACCCCATGAATCGCAGCACGCCAGGCCTCCCTGTCCATCACCAACTCCCAGAGTTTACTCAAACCCATGTCCATCAAATCAGTGATGCCATCCAACCATCTCATCCTCTGTCATCCCCTTCTCCTCCTGTCCCAAATCCCTCCCAGCATCAGGGCTTTTTCCAATGAGTCAACTCCTCACATGAGGTGGCCAAAGTACTGGAGTTTCAGCTTCAGCATCAGTCCTTCCAATGAACACTCAGTACTGATCTCCTTTAGGATAGACTGGTTGGATCTCCTTGTAGTCCAAGGGACTCTCAAGAGTCTTCTCCAACACCATAGTTCAAAAGCATCTATTTTTCGGCGCTCAGCTTTCTTTATAGTCCAACTCTCACATCCATACATGACCACTGGAAAAACCATAGCCTTGACTAGATAGACCTTTGTTGGCAAAGTAATGTCTCTGCTTTTTAATATGCTATCTAGGTTGGTCATCACTTTCCTTCCAAGGAGTAAGTGTCTTTTAATTTCATGGCTGCAGTCACCATCTGCAGTGATTTTGGAGCCCCCAAAAATAGTCTGACACTGTTTTCACTGTGTCCCCATCTATTTGCCGTGAAGTGATGGAACCAGATGCCATGATCTTAGTTTTCTGAATGTTAAGCTTTAAGTCAACTTTTTCACTCTCCTCTTTCACTTTCATCAAGAGGCTTTTTAGTTCCTCTTCACTTTCTGCCATAAGGGTTGTGTCATCTGCATATCTGAGGTTATTGATATTTCTCCCAGCAATCCTGATTCCAGCTAGTGCTTCCTCCAGCCCAGCGTTTCTCATGATGTACTCTGCATATAAGTTAAATAAGCAGGGTGACAATATACAGCCTTGACATACTCCTTTCCCGATTTGGAACCAGTCTGTTGTTCCATGTCCAGTTCTAACTGTTGCTTCCTGACCTGCATACAGGTTTCTCAAGAGGCAGGTCAGGTGGCCTGGTATTCCCATCTCCTTCAGAATTTTCCAGTTTCTTTGTGTATGTGTGGCTGAATCACTTTGCTGTACACCTGAAACTATGACAACACTTTTAATTGGCTATATTCCAGTATAAAATAAACAGCTTAAAAAGCAAAAACCTATTTTTAAAAATATAATAATACACCTCAAAAATGCATGTTCATCAACAAAACTTACCCACAGAATTCAGGTGAAAATGCACGGTTCTCTGGAATGAGATATTGTTAAGAATCCCAAGTCTACCACATACTACCTCTAGGACACTGGGCAGTTACTTAATCCTTCCCACTTCCTGTTTTAATCAACAGTAAAAGGGAGATGATACCTACTCTATAGGGTTGCTGTGAAAATTAAAGGACTTGACACCTATTAGATGTCTAATAATTACCCTCTCTTTTAAGATTCACATTAGTCTACCAAGAAAACTTGGGCTCCTTGTTTAAGGGAAAATTTAGGCTTCTTACATTTTTTCCTCTGAGCATGCATTCATGTGTGAGTGTTTCTATTCAGAGGTACTTAGTTTCAAGTGATAAAAGTGGTTGCTATAGAGACTTTTGAATACAACTGACTAGTGTAGATATAATATTAGAAGCGAGTCTCCAAGGAGTTATGCCAACTCAAAAATCAAGTCACAGTCTTCTGTTAAAACTCCCATCTATTTTAGCTTACCCTTGATCATCTCTACATTGCTTGCTGGACCATAAGAAATAACAGTTAACACCCACTAAAGCCATTCCTTACACCAGGTAGCACACTAAAGCCTTTATGGACACAAAGCAAGTTCTTATGCACTTCAGACCTTCGTGGTCCCTTGTTCCTTCTTCCCCTACAGGCTGGGCTCTAAAGAGCTTCTGTCTGGCACAAACCAACAAAGTCTTTTCTCCCTCCCACACAAGGTAACTCTCAACTCTCACCAAAGGCCTATCCGCTGATGTCAAGGCTTGGAAATTTACAGAATACTTCTTGGCACCCATGAATATAAAGTCCAGAGTATGTGTGGGGTTCATGCCCCATGCAGTAAATTTTTCTCCCCTTGGACAGATGTCCCAGGACTAATTTCTACAGTTTCTTATAGTACAGTTGCACAAGATCAAGTCAGGAGTCACACTTAGTGGTAGACAACTGGATTATACACTCTCATACTGGATCTCCCTTCCCTGTATCACTTCCCTTGCCCCTCACTCTTGATTCCTGGGACTGCATGTCCTAACAAAGTAAGCTGTACTTTTGGAAAATCCAGCTAAGAAACATTATCTTTTTAGATATTCATATTAACTTTTCATTAACCTAATAAGGTAGGTTTTCAATATCCTCATTTTGGGGGCGAGTGGAACAAAGGCTTAGAATGCCTAAATAACTCATTCTTTGCCCCCAAAATCATATGACCAGCCAGAACTACCCAAGATTTGCCAGTATTAATGTTCAAAGTCCCAAATCTCATGTGAAACCATGGTGTCTACCTTCCTCCCCCACAAACCCGTCATCACCCTAACTACTTACATGCATAGTAAGTGTGTGAGATGAAGAGGAAAAAGATAGGAGATGGGAGGTGGAAACACACACTACTTTGAATTTCACATCCTTTTAAGCCTCTGCTCTTGATATGAGCTAACAGTTCCCAGCTTTGTCATCAATGTCAATGCCAAGGTAAAAATATCTAGTTAATGAGCATCTCCCCACTTATCTACCAGGCTCTGCATTCAGATAAATGTTCACTCCATCTGCAGCTTTGTGGTGAGGTCCTGGGGAAGGGTCTGAAATAACTGTCCTGAGAATCTTGAATCAGATACAGCTCCAGGCAACAGCTAGACTCTGGATGGGTACAATCCAAGCTAGGGCTCATGAAAACTGGGCTTTGTGGTCCCTTCCTGGGTTGATCTGAGACCAAGATTTGTGAAGGCTGATATTTTCATAGCAATTAATTATTTCAACACACTCTACCTATCACCAGGCAACTAAAGGCACTCCTCAGGTGGGTACTGTTAATACAGCTAATCCATCTGACCTTCTTGCAAGGTAAAAATCTCTTCATTTTTATCCCCATTTGGCAGATTTTAATTAACTTCTCAAGGCCAATCAGTTAATCAGTGGAAAGCAGAGATGAAAAGTGGGACAGCCGCCTCCCTGAGTGCTCAAAATCGCCAACCACCCTCCCACCATCGTCCCTGCCAAGCCTTGGGTCTGCAGGAAAAAGTCAATGGCCTTTTCCAGCAGAGAAGAGCAATGCTTGCAAAACCATCAACCTAACAGGTAGGCACACTGCATGACCGGTTTCCTTCTGAGGCAAAATAAATGATCCCTTTGGCTCTCATATCCTGGGTTTCCCTTTAAGATGAGAACACTTGTGCCACAATTGGCAAAACCCATGAAGATTTAAAGATGTTTCTATCAAACTGAAAGCATTTCTGTTTTAACAAGATACTGTTGATGTCATCTGTGTGGCCCAAAGTAAACAGCCCCACAGTGTGTTCCTGATGCCAGATACACAGGGGAAGAGAGGCTTCTTAATACAGCTAAGAGGCAAATAAATCAATTCTTAAAAGGCGAGCTAAGCCTGCAAAGCAGGCATTTACAGGAACTGCCTCCACACTGCATCTGAGTTTCTACTGTAGGAGCACCAAATTACAGTTTTTGTCTCAAAATAGATAGGAGGTTGAATGGAGCACACAGCGATGTCTGGGTATTTTTGGAGCCTGAGAACATTTAGTGCCCTCAACACCCAGTCTTCTATTGAAGCTCCATGAGGCAGGCAAACGGGAGGTTGCCTGGAGAAAGTAATTCCAAGCCCAGTGGCACCGTTATCAAGGCGACAGACTGTCAATAGGCAGGTAAACAGTTCTGTTCTGTTTATGTGGTGAGAGAGCCAAAAAGAATCATATTTTTAAATGTTGAATGTTAGTGTGTGGGATTTGATCTGATTCTTGGCAGTAAACCAGTAGGAAGCAGGCTTTTTTTTTTTTTTTTAACAAAATGTATAAGATAGAACACTTTGAGGGTCTTTATATGAAGGTTTTCTTTTAACCAGCCACAAACCACATATCTAAGTTGCCATCCCTGGACTTCAGCAATAACTCTACACACAGGACATGTCCCTGTGTCATCTCCTTATGCCTTCTCTATGTGCTCCAGTACCTTAGCAGTCAGGCTTTGAAACATAATTTTCTGTGATTTTTTTTTCCTCCTTGATGAGCATTTGGTGTGTATGACAGTCCAGGTTCTAATAAGAGATTCATCCTGTTTAATTTCTCAGGCAGACTGACACTAACAAAATCCATCTACCCTTCTCCTTCCTCTATTCACACCAAGATTTATATAACTACATGAGTTATTTCATCAACATTAATTTCAAAGTAGGTATTAGACATATTAAATATTAGAATATTTAATGTATCTTCAAGTCATGCAAGGAGATCAAACCAGTCAATCCTAAAGGAAATCAACCCTGAATATTAAATGGAAGGACTGATGCTGAAGCTCCAATACTTTGGTCCTGATGCCAAGAGCTGACTCACTGGAAAAGACCCTGATGCTGGCAAAGATTGAAGGCAAAAGGAAAAGAGAGCAGCAGAGGATGAGATGAGATGGTCAGATAGGATCAGTGACTCAGTGAACATGAATCTGGGCAATCCTCCAGTCATACTTCTGGATGTTTAGGCATATTTGGGAATAGTTTCAACTGGAAAAGAAATTAGACAATGTATGTTTTATCAGAGATTTATCCAAAAAGCAAAGTCAATGGACAGAGAGACATGACAGACTAATGCCATCTCTTAGAACTTCAGCTCAATTTGGACCTAATAAATATGTTCATACTGTAAGATCTTCATCATAACACCTTGTATAATTTCATTTGCAGGGCACTGTACTTTTTGTTTCATTCCCAAATAATTCTCATATTCAAAAATTCATAACTTAAGATTTGGTATTAAAAATATATATATACTCCATTTAATTGAAACTATGAAGGAAATAATCCAGCCTCCCTAAAGAACTAAAAACTCCTTTACATAAAAAAAGAAGCCTGATTGTTGCTGGGTTCAATCTGCCACCAATGCTTCTTTTTTATTTTTCCATTTTGATAGATTTCACTTACATATGATTTTTTTAGTGGCCCACATAGGAGCTGGGACTTGGTCATCTGAATAAAAAATACATTTCCATTAAAGGCTGTTTAGGTGTTTGTTTTTCAAAGCAATGCTTCCTTTTTGGAAAAATTTTCTTCTTGAAGGGTGGGGAGAAAGGGAGGAGAGGAACGGGGAAGGGAAGGGAAACAATGAACCAGGGAGCTGACAATATTCAAGCCAGGAAAGAGTGGAAAACAAACAACTTGCCTCTGGACTCCACACAGAGGAGCTGTCAGTAGCATAGGAATCTTCGAATCCCCGGTTATTAAAAGCTGTCTCCATCTCCAGGCTGCCCTCTGTGGACTGCCAGCTGAGGCTGTGGACCACGCTGGTTTCTCCAGGAGATCCACCATGGTGCCTGGTGTTCCCCAGCTCACAAGGGGACTGTGAATGGGCAGAGATGGGATCGTCTTCACCATAAGACAGATTCTCAGAATAAGTCAGTTGGCTGGCTCCATCCAAACCTAAATTTGCAAAAAGAAAATTCTTTCAAATGTACTGTCATGTTTCATCTTTTTATCTAGAGAAAATGGGCAATAGCAACTATCCCAATCGAGTGTGCTAAAACAAAACTCATTAAATAACATCTGCTGAAGCACACTTTCATCTATATGGTGGATAAACTTGGCCCATAAAATCAAAACCCATTAGTTCATTATATAGGGTACAAGAAGACTGAATGCTTTATGATAATATGAACATAAAGGATATACATTATGTCTGAAGGATAAAATAAGTCCAACTCTTCACAACTCCATGAACTATAACCCACTAGCCTCCTCTGCCCATGGAATTTTCCAGGCAAGAATACTGGAGTGGGTTGTGATTTCCTCCTCCAGGGGATCTTCTGAACCCAGTGATCAAATCCACATCTCTTGTATCTCTTGCATTGGCAGGCAGATTCTTTACCACTAGTGCTACTAGTACCACCTGGGAAGCCCCTGGATTCAGAGGATCTGGGTTTAAAATCCAAGTTTTGCATTAAGAACTTGAACAATATTTGAACTGTCTTAACCTTTGTTTCCTTGTCTATGTGTGTTTGCTTACTCAATCATGTTCAACTCTTTGTAATTCCATGGACTATAGACCACCAGGCTCCTCTGTCCATGGAATTCTCCAGGCAAGAATACTGGAGTGGGTTGCCATTTCCTCCTCCAGGGAATCTTCCCACCCAGGGATCGAACCCAAGTCTCCTGAATCTCCTGCACTGCAAGAAGATTCTTTATCCACTGAGTCATTGGGAAAAGCCGTCAGAAATTCACTGTGGACATGTGAAATAATATCTGCCTAGCAACCACCAGCCTTTCCATAAATATTAGCCTTGCTTACATGTCTGGCCTCATCCAACCAGCATCCAGCAAACCATCCAACCTCATCCAGCAAAGCCCATTCAGTACTACCACCAAACTCATAGACATCTGTGATCTCATAGGCCATGAAAACACCAGTTGTATATTTTTGTTCACAGCATTCTTCAAGCCCTCACTCCTCTCCTTTCCTTCTTGTCCATCCGAAGTCCTGACAGCTCCCAAATCTTCTCTGACTCATTTAGACTCAGAGTCTTTCTCAGCCCTTAGTGTCTCCTCTCTCTTGGTACTCCCTTACCCTGTTCACCCCCTTCCTCTTCCTTAACATCCAGGTTACCCTCAGATAATAAGGAAAAATTGACAGGATCTTCCTGTCCTTCCTAAGCAATAGTTTTCACCCTAAATTGCCTCCCACATCCAGAAAGTAGACAAGGATGTCTTATCTCTTTGGCCTCTACCCTTCTCCAGTGTCCCCCACTCCCAGGATGATGGAAAATTAGAGATATAGACAGGATTCGTGAGGATGACAACCTCAGCTCTTATTTACACACTGTTTAATAGCAGTTGTTCCCACCGTTGGTCTTAAAATCTGAGCTAGAACATAAGGTCCTTGAAGCTGCTAAGCAACATCCATATACTGCATAGTCTTTTCCATGAAAACAACAGTTGTGTATTTTTGTTCACAGCGGTCTTCAAGCCCTTCCTCCTCTCCTTTCCTTCCTGTCCATCCAAAGTCCCGACAACTCCTGAATCTTCTCTGACTCCTTCAGATTCAAAGTGGATTTTATTAAATCTCAAGTAGCTTTCAAGGCTATGTAGATAACAAATACTTGAAACAGTCAGATGTGTAGCAATATGGAGCACTGTGGACAGTGGTTTAGCAGACAATATTTGACCCACCTACAATAAACTTAAAAACACATCATCACCCTCTGCAAACCAGATACAAAAATCTTTGGGAAGAGTTGGTTTTCAGGGCAGGAATTCCAATCCCTCATTTGGGATTTTGCCAAATTATGGCAAGTCATTGAGAAGTTCTCCATCTGCCTTGTTTTTCTTAGTAATTCACTTCAGGCCTCTTGGAAACACTCTAATAGGATACCAGAAATCTTAACATTCATACTTTCAGTTATTTGGCAAACATACACACAGAAGAAAAAAAAAAGACCCAGAAAATGACAGAACAAGGGTTATTCCATTTGCAAAACCCTATAACACAAAGCGGAATTTTCTTCTCAGGCTCTAATTAGCCCATCCATTCCTCACATACACGAACACTAAAATGTCCTATTAAACAGTGGGTCATCCATCAACGTGTGTAGCGCCCAGCAGGATCTCAGCACAAAATCTAACTCTGCCAAGAAATTACCCCCATAAAATTGTCTCATGACTTCAACTCCCACAGTGATAATACTTAGATCAGTAATAAGGGAATTTTCAAAAGCTACATTAAAGCCTTAAAAAGCTATTCATAACTGAAAAACTTAAGAACTATATTAATGTAACAAACCATTTTCCTTGACAGACAAGCAAGGAATGAGTTAGAAAGGCAAATCTGGGGGACGAGTCAAGTTGCAAGGAGGGGGAAGGGTGATTCACTGTTACATAAAGCATCTTCCCATGCTTTAAATTAAAGAAGGTCATGTCACCTTAAACACATACAGAAAAGTAATTGCCTGTTGTTGAGAAATGTATCCTGGCTTCTTAGAAATTATAGAGCATAATTGTGTCACATCAACCATATTTATTTTATGAGAGGAAATTTTTTAGTCCATATCCCACTTTGATGGGGTGTAAACCTATTATGCTTTTATGCTTTCTTTTCTACTACAAGACCCTTCCCTCCATCACCTACCATTCTTGATGGTCAATTTTATGTGTCAGCTTGGCTATAGGCCTCAATTATTCAATCAAATGCTAATTTAGGAGTTGCTGTGAAGGCATTCTGTAGCTATAATTAAAGTTGACTTTCAGTAGAGGGGATTATCCTACACAATCAGTTCCTTGAAAGGCCTTAAGAGGAGAACTGAGGCATTACTGGAGGAGAAGCAATTTCATCTATAGACTGAAGCTTCAGTTCCTTCCTGAGTTTCAGCCTCTCCTGAACAGTGGATTTCAGAGCTCCCACAATCACATAAGGCAATTCTTTGCAATAAATCTCTTAAAATACACACACACACACACACACACACACACACACACACACAAACAGGGGATAATTGACTTGTTTTAAATGACACCAGGAAGGTAATGATTAGCTACTACGAAACATCTTAAGAACTAAATATTTCACAAACAAAAATAAGGCTTTGCTCAAAACAAACAAAAAGTCCAATAAGTGGGCTATTATTCTGTAGCCCACCTTACAAGCATAGAGACCTCATGCACAGCTCCTGATTCAGATCACTTAGGCCAAGTCCTCTTTGACATTATCAGGAATACAGTGATAATACAACTAATTCACAATAACACTAAATCAGATATGTGAGACAAGAGAACTTAGCTGGAATTTGAAGAAGGTTTTAAGTGGGTTTGGACCTTGAATTTCACTGGTTCTACATTCTGAATGCACCCTTTAAGTGAAAGAACTGTCTACGATTAAATTTGATCTTGGGGCTTCCCAGGTGGCACTAATAGTAAAGAACCCACCTGCCAATGCAGGAGACATAAGAGATGCAGGTTCTATTCCTGGGTGGGAAAGGTCCCCTAGAGGAGGGCATGGCAATCCATTCCAGTATTCTTGCCTGGAGAATCCTAAGGACTGAGGAGCCTGGTGGGCTACAGTCCATAGGATTGCAAAGAGTCAGACACAACTGAAGCAACTTTGCATGCACGCATGCAAATTTGATCTTAGAAAACCATGTTTAAAGTAGAGGGGAAAATAGCTAAATAGAGAAAAGGTGTTAAAAAAATTCTCTCTGGGGTGCATGCTTAATCTTTTCATTATTCTTTACCGCTGACACAAATTTAATGATCTAAAAATGAACAAAAAGAAATGACACAGAAAAAATCATGCAATAAAAATTACATTAACATTTCCATGGCATTTGATAACCTAAAATTTAGCATGCTGTTAATCATTCTCCTGAAAACTCTTGCTGATTTTCTTCAAAATGTACAGGTAATTCATTCAATGTAGTAGACTCATTCCACCCTCCGGTAGAGAAAAATGTAGCCTTTCTATCACCATCTGTCAAAAAACTCAGAATCATACCAGTTACGACAAAAGTTGCTGCTGATTTCAGGAAGGTTGAGGGCTACAGTGTTTGTAAGAACTCTCAGAACAACGTGTTTGTATAAATCAAAATCTAGGCACTTGGGCCTCTGGGAAATGGGGCCATTAGCTTTAGAATTAAACAAGCTACTCATAGGGGATCAACTGCGATTAACTTTCATTAGCTAACATTTGCTCTCTCAGTGGAGAGAGAAGAGCGCTGTGTTCTAACAGCAGAGAAAAAGCAAACAGGAGAGAGGGTGAGGAGATTACAGAGGGCCTCTGGCAACTGTTACTATTCTTTGGTTACATTGAGCATTTATCTCTTGGCTTACCTGGGCTAAAAAGACTAGCAATAAAATGCTATGTGGCCCATGTCAATGAGTAAAATTACATTAGGTCAGCAAATTATTATATTCCTGCTAAAAAAAATAGGGCTTATTTGTTACTTTTCCTTTCTGCCTCCTTTGTTCTTTTTTTGCCCACTTCATCCATATCATCAAATCAGAAATTTCTTCTCTGTTATCGTCTCTCAGTTCTACACTCTCCTTTTTAAAAGTCTTCCTATTACTAAGGGCTGAAAAACAAGGAAGACCAACTATGATCCCATTGGTTGGATGAACCACAGGCCCAGAGGAAAGAAGGAAAAGATTAGAGAACCCAGGTCATTTTAGACCAGGTCACTATGGTAGACAGTATGACATTTTCTCTGGCTTACGTTTTTTTTTACCAGATACACTTCACAGACTGTTCCCTGTTCCAATGTCCTATGCCATTCAGGGTTCTGGGCATAAAGGAGTCAGAGAGATAGAGAGATGCCTGACCTTTGCTGTGGAAAGCACTAATAAATATCGTAGTGTTCTTCCCTAGGTTCTTTTGTATGCCTGGTGGGCAGGGCCAAGGACCCTTGACAAGTCCTACTCACAGTCACAGGCTGTGCTCACCCGGCCCTGAGTGCCCCCCCCTCCCTTTGTGAAAAGTACGCTTAGTATGAAGATGGAGGGTGCCAAGAGACCTGCTCACACCCAGGATTATACTATGGGTTGGGCTCCAGAAACTATAGGGCATGAGGGAGAGCGTGCACGGTACATGTTGTTTAAAAAAGGTTATTCAGTATTATGAAAACACATTATTTTTATTTGGAAGGTAAAACATACCTATTGTTTTAATAATACAACCTATTAAAAGTAAGGCTTCAAAACTCTCCTGGGGTTACATAGATATATGGAAGATGGATCCTACATTTTCAAATGGGGGGAAAGGCACAGAAGTGCAACATCAGGAGACATGTATGTAAAATTTTTGTACTTGTCAGAAGGGAATGAAATTTTATAAACCTTGAAAAATACCATTCTAGTCATTAGTTGTCAAAATGTACAAAGCAGTAAACTATGAGGAAGGAAGGGGGTTCCACAATTCAGGATCAAGACTTTGGTACTGCTGATCCATTCTCTCTGCATGAGGCTCCTTGGAAGGTCTGAAGCAGCCCTTTGGCCCTGTCCCACCTTCTGGACATCACCCTTCTTTTTTCTCTCCTCTCTGGACTCTCAGATGCCAGTGCAGTGACTCAAAATCATTCTTACCATTAGACATACCTAGTCTAGATAAAGGAAAGGTTTGATACAAAGAATACCTTTGCAGGTGGACACTTCTGGGCTGTCTTCTTTGTGGGTGGAGAGACGGTGACTGGGCTTGGGTTTATGCTCCAATCCTGTTTGCTTTCCTTTCTCAGATGTTCCCGAGCAGAAACTCTGGGACCGGGACACGGAAATCTCAAATTGTTTGATCACCTCCTCATCACTGTCAGAAGATGTGGACAGCTCCTCATCATCTCCGAAGCTGTTAACTGGAAGCAAACAAGAGCCATGAGTCTTCTATGGGGCCCACAAGAAAACAGAGACAGGTAATCCAGAGAAACAGTGGCAAATTAATCTGGATCAAAGCAGACCAAAGGTGGGTAGAGAGAATTTAAAGCATTTTTGAGAAACACAAGTTTTGAGTCCAAAGGAATGAAACAGGAAAAGAAAGTTCAGAAGGGTAATTGGAACTACAGGGCTAGGGCTCAGAGAAAACACCTTCCCCGTGCAACCCCCCACCCCCAGCACCCTGTAACCAATATAATGAGTCCTCTTGTTGAGCTGGGCAGCCTGCTGAGTCATGATGCTGCTGACATGTGCTCACGACTGGGAATAGGACCAGCAATCTGGACACATATGTATCTTAAGTGTATTTCTAGCCAGTGCGGATGCAAATATGCTCTTTGCCTCATCTCAGCTATTAAAACACAAAGTGAAGACCCACTTCAGGAAAGAGATATTAGCTCCTGAGGTCTTCCAAAAGCTTCCTAGATTTGAAAAGCGATACTACATTGTATGTGTCTTAAAAAATAACGAATAACTAGTTTGTACTAGAAATGCCTTTCTCCATCACCAACAACCCAACCCAGACACTCTGAATCATTCGTACCACTCTTCCCCCACCCCAGCGCGCTGGTCAGTCCTCTTCATTTCTCCAGCAGCATCTGATCATCCCTGCCCTTGCCCATGTTGTTCCTTCTGCCAGAAACCTTCCCTCCCCAGGTTTTTACCTGGTTGGCTGCTCTCAACTTTGTGGTCTCAGCTTGACTTCATCCTAAACACTTCCCTGATTGTTCTACCTTAAGGAGCTCTGTGGGCTTACCTAGATAGCATATTAAAAAGCAGAGACATNAAAGATTGAAGGCAAGAAGAGAAGGGGGCGACAGAGGATGAGATGGTTGGATGGCATCACCGATGCAATGGACATGAATTTGAGTAGGCTCCGGGAGTCAGTGATGGACAGGGAGGCCTGGCGTGCTTCAGTCCACAGGGTCACAAAGAGTTGGACTAGACTGAGTGACTTGACCTGAGGGAGTTCTGTTCCCTGCACTTCATATTTTTTCTTTCTTCTCCCCAATAAATTCCGTGAAAATAAAGATATCACCTGTTTTATTATCTGATGTCTCTACAGTATGTAAAACAATGCCAGCTAAGGAGTAAGTATTTAATTAAACACTTGTTGAATGTTGACTAGATTAATGAACACCCAGTGTTTTCTCTCAAGCCTGAGTCCTTCTCTCACGCCCAACACTCAGACATGATCCCGAGTCTGGAATACTCTTCTCCAGTCCCCATCTAAACTAGCCAAGAATCTAGCTCACTAAGGTCTCAGCAGAAGCATCATTTCTTTCAAAGAGTCCTTCCTTGATCCCTTAAATCAACTTTAGGGATTTAAGGCTCTTTCCATGTACTGTAAAATCACTCTATCTAGTCCTGTCAGTGCTTCCTTCAGCTTTGTGGAGGAAATTACCTATTTAACTGCCAACCTTTCCATCTAACTTGTACACACCCTGAGAACAAGAAGCACATAAGACCACTCACCCCTGCGTCCCTCCAGGGACTATCTCCGTGTCAGGCACAGGGCAGATGACACTGTAAATATCTGCTGAATATGGACTGGAAATATAAATAATATGGAATTATTATTTAAAAATTTCCTCTTTTCATCCAAAACTCACACAGTGGTTCCAGGGAAGTGTATGGCTATTAACAGGACAGATGGGTCCTGAAGATCAGTTACGAATTAGAAGTTAGGAAGAAATTTAAAAGCCATATTTTAAGTGAGGGAAAATACTTGAAAACACTCACCTGGCCAAAACATTTACTCTCTGACTTAAGAGTTGATTTTCCTGAGGCTCTTCGGAAGCAATTATAACAAACACTTATTGAATATCTTTCATGTTGCCAGGAAGTGTCCTAAGTATCTCATACACATCTCATTTAATCCACACAAAACCTCTATTACTGTTCCCATTTTTCACATATGAAAATTGAGGCAGAGAAAAGTCTACAACTGTCTGAAGATCACACTGCCAGGAGGGGGTAGAACAAAAATTTGAATCAAGGCAGTCTGTCTCTAGAGGCTACACTTCTAATCACTCTGCTGGAGAATCGGAGAGAGGTGGCAGAAAGAACTCTTATTCTTTGTGTTCACTCATATTAGCTAGCTGACTCTATGCGGCTGAGACTCTTAACCTCTCTGATCCTGTTTCTTCATTTGTGGATCATTTCTAATGTATGGATCATTTTCCAGGTCTTTTCCAGATCTAAATTCTCAAGCTCCAAACTTTCTACCTGACAGGTGTCAACATTCAATCTATTTCTCTCTTTTATGGAATAGCTGATCCAGTGACTTAAGAGCATATTGTTTTCAGCTCACTCAATTTTACTGTTTTCTGGGACCAGACCCATGGCAATACATAGAAAGCTAAGTGTTAGAAGAGATTTCATTACCATCCCAACAGAACACCATTACAATGAACAGTCTCCTCACGTCTCAGTGTGCTAGGCATAGTTCCTAGCATGGGATGGGCCATCAGATACGGAAGAGATCCAGAGACTAACAGGACCAAAACTAAACTCTCCCCACCTTTAGAGTATAGGACCATCTACGCACCTGGGAGGTAGTCAGGGGGATATATGCACTGGAGAAGTGGTTGGATTGGCACTTTTTCTAACTCTGAGATTCCATTCCATGTGTACTACTAGGCCATTTGTATTCCATTAATATTACTGTACCAGGCCACGTGGCCTGCCTCCTGAGAAATCTGTTTGCAAGCCAAGAAGCAACAGTTAGAACTGGACATGGAAAAACTGACTGGTTCCAAATCAGGAAAAGAGTACATCAAGGCTGCATATTGTCATCCTGTTTATTTAACTTAAATGCAGAGTACTCATGCGAAATGCTGAGCTAGATGGAGCACAAGCTAGAATCAATATTGCCAGGAGAAATATCAATAAACTCAGGTATGCAAGAAAAACTAAAGAGCCTCTTGATGAAAGTGAAAGAGGAGAGTGAAAAAGTTGGCTTAAAGCTCNGACACAACTGAGCAACTGAACTGAACTGAACTACTGTTAAATTACATACTATTAATATACTTAATTATATTAAAATATATTAATTATAATAAATGTGACTAATATCACTAATAGTATACTATTAATAGTATACTATTGTTTTACTATTAAAACTTTTCATAGTCAAAAGTCATCAATTTCAAATTAAGTTAGTCCACAAGTATTTCCTCATATATAAAATTAGGAAATAGAATTCATTAATTTACCAGTATGGGATCTTTGATTTTTTTTTCCCCAGTGAGTCACTGATCATCCACAGAGCACATATTCTCCTCACTCAATATAATAACCATACCGAGTCCAAGCTTGCTTTGCTCGCTGCACGACAGGCCAATGAACCCGAGTCTCAAAGCGTTGAGGCAAGGAAGAGACTTTAATCCGAGAGTCGGCTGACCAAGAAATTGGCAGGCTATCATGTCATGGCCTGGTTGCCAGGTTCTTTATAGATCATAGATGGGAGGGGAGGTGAGGAAACAAAGTAAAAAGAGTATTCAGTCCTTGCAAATGTCCCCTGGAATGGGAAGCCTCAGGCAGGGGAATGTGTTAGTTTCAGTCCCTTATAGTCCTTCACAATTGGGCCGCTCAGATTATCTCCCTGAGGCAGACCCTTATATATTCTTATAATACCAAAAACGGGTTAAAGTCACAAAAATAGATCCAGCTTAAATTTAAAATTACTCTTCCCTGTTGCATAATCATAACAGTAATTATAATGTTTCCCATTAACTAAACAGACTATCCAGGTATCTTCTGGGGACTTCATATATATTATTCCATTTAATCACCACAGCAACACCATGAAGTAGGGATAATTATTATTACTCTCATTTTAGAGACAGGAAACAGAGGCATAGAGAGATTAAGTAACTTATTTTAGGCAAAAAACAAAGTAACAAAGCTGGGACTTGGACATAGAACCTCTGTTCTTGGTCACTGCACAAATCATCAAACATTATTGCCTCAGGACACTAAAGCCACATCTAGATTACTTTTCAGAGTGCGCCAAGAGGGGGGTTTGCCATTTCCACCCTGAAATCTGCCAGGACATTGCTTCCTTTGTGAGAAGAGAGAGCAGAGGGAAGAAGGGTCACCCTATGTGAGAGTGAACGCACCCGGGCAGCAGTATAACTGGTCCATTCTCCTCATGGGATTCTAAACGCAACTGCACATGCTATTCTAAGCCTCAGTCCTCAAGGATTTCAGGAAATTCTCTGTCTAAAAATGAAACCTGTCATCCCTCCTAAAAACCCACTGGCAGCAACAGAAGTCAATAGTAGTGCTATTATAACAATAAAAGCAACCCCATATACAGCATTGATCATGAACCAGGCCTTATTCTAGAAAGTTACATCTGATAACTTATTTACTCCTCACAATAACCCAATGAAATCAGTACTTTATTATCCCCATTCTGTGAATGGGGAAACTGAGGCATCATGAGATCAGTAATTTGCCGCAGTGAAAACAGTTAATAAACATTGTAACCAGGATTCAAACCCAGGTGGTCTGGCTCCAACGTCAATATCATCATGACAACATTATGCTCCCTCTATCATCTGTTACTTGAAGGAAAACAATCCTGGTCAAAATCTATACAACTGTGTTTGGTCACTAAGAATATAAAATCACATAGGTTGGGAAATAATATTTAAATACAAATGGAAATTTGTATTAAAATCTTCACCTCTTCATCCAATTAGTTTGCTAAAACAACAGAGAAAAAGTTGCACAAATGCCAAGGATGTGGTCACATCTTGAAGTTGAGATTATTCACTTCACTCAATCACAGAATTTGGAGAGATTTTAGACACCACCTCAGAATATACCACCAAAGAGAAGTCAAACTTAATCTACAATATTCCTAATGCATGGCCACCCAGCTCCTTCCCTCTGTTCACATACTATTGAGTTG